GGGGAGGAGGAGGAGGAGGAGGAGGAGGTAGAAGAAGGTGACAACACTCTTTAGTTAGGGAAGGAGGCTTCATTGAAAGGGGCCCCCAAGCTGTGCTGGAGGATTCTGTGACCATCAGACAAGCATTAAAGAAGTTTGGTTGTGGCTTAGAGCAGGGGGTGTCCAACCTTGGCAATTTTAAGACTTGTGGACTTCAACTCCCAGAATTCCTCAGCCAGCTATGCTATTTGGGGAATTCTGGGAGTTGAAGTCTACAAAGTTGCTAAGGTTGGAGACCCCTGGCTTAGAAGGTTGTGCAGATCAAATTCTTATGGCTTTATAATGCATGGTGAATAGAGTAGAGTAGAGTAGAGTAGAGTAGAGTAGAGTAGAGTAGAGTAGAGTAGAGTAGAGTGAAGAGAAGAGAAGAGAAGAGAAGAGAAGAGAAGAGAAGAGAAGAGAAGAGACGAGACGAGACCTTGGAGGTCTTTTAATCCAACGCCCTGCTTAGGCAGGAAACCCTATACCACTTTAGAGAAATAGTCATCTAGTCTCTTCTTAAAACCTTCCAGTGTTGGAGCATTCACAACTTCTGGAGGCAAGTTGTTCCACCGGTTAATTTTTCTCACTGTCAGGAAATTTCTCCTTAGTTCTAGGTTGCTTCTCTCCTTGATTAGTTTCCACCCGTTGCTTCTTGTCCTGCCTTTAAGGTGCTTTGGAGAAGAGCTTGACTCCTTCTTCTTTGGGGCAGGCCCTGAGATATCGGAACACTGCTCTCACGTCACCCTCAGTCCTTCATTTCATCAGACTAGACATACTAGACATTATGACTTAATGCAGCCTTTTGCAACCTGGATACACAGCAGGCTGGTGGAATTCAGTTCTCAGAGTTTTCAGCAATGGCCACGCTGACTGGGGAATTCTGGGAGTTGAAATCCAAACATCTTCATTCTGCCAAGGCTGAGAAACACTGGCCTAGACTGTTATCTCAGAGCCAATCCTGAATGGTTTACTTTACACTGGGGTGTCTGTGCCTCTAAGATACCACCAAAATCGTTGGCAAAGATCTGGCTATGCAGGTCTCCGAGTCAAATTTTCTCTGTTTCTTTTTCCTGACCGCCTTTTTTTCTCTTTCCAGGTTTCTGCCACTATTACTTGCCTGAAGAGCAGTATCCCAAAGGGTTCGCCTTTGACTGCGACGATGTCAACTTTTCCACCGACAACCTCTGCTTTGTGGGACTCATGTCCATGATTGACCCGCCCCGTGCTGCTGTGCCCGATGCCGTGGGCAAATGCCGAAGTGCTGGCATCAAGGTAAAGCGGTTGCTTGAGTGAATTTCTGGACAGCTTTCTGTGCATCCACTTTATCCGATTAAGAGAAGATTTCCGGCTCGAATGCAGGGATTTTGAAAACTCTTTCTCTCAACTTTGATACTCCAGAAGGCCAATTCGCTCTCCTAAGCAGACTTTTTTTATTGTCTCCTAATAGTGAAAAGATCTGAAATGGTCCATAGAAGGTCGCTCAAACATCTATGCCATAACTACATTCCTTTACTGACCTCTGGCTTCCCCAAAAAGCCCTAAGGAGACTCTTTGCCCCAGCAAAACCCCTTTTAATCACCGAAGGTGAATTTCTTGCATTCACATTCAGCCAAAGGCCTAGCAAAACAGTCTTTCAAGGGTGTAATTAGGAGCACAGGCCTTCTCTAGCCTGGAGTAAATATTTTCAAACGCAGTGCTGACAAGGAAGGGCTTGGCGCAGAGTCTCGAGGATGCGCAGACAGATCTTCATTCGTTTGCAACGAACAAGTTGTTTCCTGCAAAAGCCCCCTCCTCTTTTAATCCCTGTGGGAGGGGCTATTCACCATCCACCTGTGGCTTTACTCCCACATCGACCCTAATTGTTCTTTTCTTTTGGCAGCTCTGTGCATGCGCAGGCTGGGAACCGACTCCAGCCTTGCTGCTGTCTGACTGCAAAGGCAGCTGATGACTGTCAGAATGCCCTGGCCCCCATCTCTGCCTCTGATGCAGAGCCCTCATCCAAGCCTTCCTCAACTTCCAGGACTGGCCCATATTCCTCCCCAACCTCCTCATTTTCTGACTTTGCTGCCAGCTCCACTAGCCACCGGGCGGGGCCCCAACAACTCCAATGCTCTTTTAATTAATCCGTTTATCTGCAGATTCCAAAATCCAAGGTCTTCCTTTTTGTCTTGAATTAATGAATGGATTGGCCCGAGGTTTGCATATTTGATGTGATGTCAATGGCAGCTTCTGGCTTGGATCAGACTGAAGATGTAGCAACCTTCTTAGAAACTCTTGGAGACCACCTTACTTCTTGCAATACTTCCAGCTCTTAGAAGGAATTGGGTTGGGCAACTCATTCCGCTTCAGTGGACAGTCTTCATGTTGCCCAGGACTCCTTGGATAACCCCGCTTTCCCTCCGCAGGTGATCATGGTAACAGGTGACCATCCCATCACAGCTAAAGCCATCGCCAAAGGTGTTGGAATTATCTCTGAGGGAAATGAGACAGTGGAAGACATTGCTGCCCGGCTAAACATTCCTGTCAGTCAAGTCAACCCCAGGTGAGGGGAAAGTAGGAGACCAGAGGGTCAACTTGTAGGTCTGGGGGAAAAGTAAGAGCTTCCAGGACATCATGGAACACAAAGGACAAAGTGTGGGGAAACAGAAAGGGGGCAAGGAAGTCGCATGAACGAGGCTATTTTACTTGGGTTCGTCACATTTTGAAATGGCTTTCTCGCTGAAGCTAGGCCCCTCTCAGGCAACTTTCTAGACCTGTGAACTTCAACTCCCAGAATTCCTCAGCCAGCCATGCTGTCTGGGGAATTCTGGGAGTTGAAGTCCACAAGTCTTAAAAGTTGCCAAGTTTAGAGACCTCTGGTCTAAGTCAAAGGTGTGCAGTCTTGGCTACTTTAAGACTTGGGTGGACTTCAATCCCCAGAATTCCCCAGACAGCATGGCTGGCTGAGGAATTCTGGGAGTTGAAGTCCACAAGTCTTAAAGTTGGAGACCCCTGACTTAGACAATACCAGAATTTAAGTTTTATTTTGTAGCGGTGTATTGATTAGATATCTGTTTAGCTGAGTTGTCTCTCCCCTTCATTACTCTGCGTGGCCATTCAATAGATAGTTGTTGGATGGCATCTCCCAGAGGGCTGTAGCCACTCACCCCGATGAAACGTTGAAATGTAGTGGTGTTCCGGGGAATTCTTCGAAAAAGGCACGAAGACAAATAGAACCAAAACAGCATTGAAACGATGAAGCATAACAGCCCATAGTTAATACTCTCTCTGCACATGGAGAGGTCATGCTTGCCCTATCTACTGTCCTTTGTCTACCCAGAGATGCCAAGGCCTGTGTGATCCATGGGACAGATTTGAAAGACATGGCTACGGAGCAAATTGATGAAATCCTACAGAATCACACCGAGATCGTCTTTGCCCGTACTTCTCCACAGCAGAAACTCATCATTGTGGAAGGTTGCCAAAGACAGGTAGAGACTGAGAAGGATGTCCATCCAACCAACCACGCCATGAGCCTATATCGCATTCCCACTGGCAAATCCCGTGAAAGTTGTCTTCTCTAGCTAGCAGGGAGTTCACACAGCTAACGAAGGACTTTCAGGGCAGGACAGTGCCATATGCGTAAAACCCATGCAACACAAAATGCATTGATTTACACGCTTGAGTGACCGAGAGAAGGATTTTGCTAGTCCCATAGCCTACAGATTCCATCAGCTTCTTCTTCTGAATCTTCACGACAGACAGGATTCAGCATGGAGGGACTAAAATTACTTTGAATGAGCAGAGAGACTCTCTTCCCTCAGCCCTGCCTTGACACCTCCCTCTGGCCTAGCCGGAGATTCCACCCCAGTTGACAAGACAACACCCTAGTGTAGGTTGTCCTCATGGTGTTTTTTTCAAGAGGCACCTGGACTTTCTTTTTTTTCTTTGAAGACATTTCGCTTCTCATCCAAGAAACCACTTCAGCTCTGAGAAAGCTTCTTGGGTGAGAAGCCAACAGTCAACCA